ATGACGATCTTCTGCGAGGCTCCACCTCCCCTCTACCTCGCCCTTACACCCTGCCTTGATGGGTTCATGATGTCCTTCGGCCGGTTTCTCCAACTGTTGGGGTTCTGCAGTTGCTCTCTGGGGATGTTTGTATCAGCCTGTGGGGCCTAACCCTACCTCTGCCCACAGCGCCTTACTACTGCCTAGCCTCCCAGGGGATAGCAATCCCTCCTGGTCTTAAGCAATACCTGGTCCCTAGATACCTTGCACCACAACCCCTCCAAAGGTGGGAAACAAATGAAATGTTATCAACAACAAAGAAAATATGAAGACATGCAAAAAAAGGGGAAGGTTTCTGCCCTCTTGCCCTCTATACTCATGGCTAGCTCGACAATGCCAGGCCTCAGATGCCCGAGGTCCCTAGTCAGCCATAAACTGGGACCTGGTTAGACTGCCAGCTTCAACGCTCTCCTCCTCACTCTTAGACCTGCCTGTGAGATCACTGGACCCATGGTGGCCCTTCTCCACACACCTCCCACACATCCCTCATTGTGGGGGGGCTCTACACCACTGGAGCCCGTCCCCCATGTTGGAGAGGCAGATTCCCACCCCTTTTCCCCTCGTAGGGGCTCTGAGAAGAACCTCCCTGTTAAGGTCCCTGCAGGTCTCTCCCCTGCTTCCTTGCCAGCAGCACTTTTTATATCCGCCAGCCGGCTCCTGCTGCTGGCATTATCCGCTGGCCACAGCTGTATAAAGGCGTGGCTAACAAGCCACTCAGGTCCCGCCTCCATTTTCGGCTTCGCTGCAGATCCTGCTACAGGCAAGACATTTTTTGTTTCTTTCCTTTTACTTTTACCTTCCCCAGCAGATTCCTGACCCCAGGGTTCCCCCTGGCTCCTTGGGGTCTGCCCCTCTGTTTTTCCCCTTGACAAAGACAATTTGAATTAGATAGCAATGTTTCTAAAAGTATGAGTGGCAAATTAAAAATTTCCCCAGACCATGTTATACTTCTACCAGATATATTCAAAAAAAAAATGAAATGAGCACTATCTGAAAAGTTAAGGTACAACAGTGAAGAGTTCTGACTGGCAACTTCGGTACCAAATGAAAATCTCTCTTCTGCCTCAACAAAAACAAATGTATTCTCCTAAAACATTTAAGTCTAAACGTTAAAGACATTCCCTTTATTCACTTCCACAGGGTATGTCTGGCAGCTAATCATCTCAGTTCTTCATTGTTCTTCATTTGAGTACCTTTATAGTAAATAAAATTATACCAGTATTGGAGCATTTACAAAATTAGAGTCTGTGTAGGGTTGTTTTGTTTCTTTGTCTTTATTTTTTGACAAGTGACTAAGGTCATAGAATTTCAAAAGTGGTAGCTCTGCTGCTTTTTGGTGGTTCTATCCTGCTTCTCATTGTCCCTAAATGTACATAGAGACATTTCACCCTGTAAATGAAAAACTACTGTTACGACAGGAGTTCAGATGGTTTAGACTCAGTTGACTCAGACTCAAACACAAATTATAATACATTACTTCCTGAAATGACATCCTATAAAGACAAGTTTTGGAAAAGAAAAGGTGGCTAAATTATAGGTTTGTTGAAGGTTGAAAGGCTTCTCCAGAGCTTCAGACAATATAAGAGAAAGGAACAAAGAGTAAGATCTGAATGAGAAAGATAGCTGCATACTATGTTTTCCAATCAATCCTCTCCCTCCATTTTTGCCATTATATTGGAGTTTAGCTCTGCTCATACAAACAAAATAAATGTGGAGAGGAAAGAAGGGACAACTTCTTGAAATAGTATGTTCTCCTTGAAATAGATTTCAACCTATATAGTGTTTATACTGAAAGTTACCACTGTTTATATATCCCACTTCTAGTACTCTCTGATTTATTTTAGATTATATTTGTTTAGTACATGACATACATGCCACATTATTGCAGCAAGATCTTTACAACAGAGCCTGATCTTTCTGAGCTCACGTTCCTAGAACCGAATGATCAATAAGGACTCCAAATTAGCATTCCACTGATACATTAAATATATGTTCAAGAAATAACAGGTAAACAATGTGTGCAATCATTTGTTTGACCATTTGGTAATCATTTCTGTGAAAAAAATGCAATATTTGACTCCAGTTCTTCAATGACACCAAAGGGACAGAACCTGACATCTATATGGATGTCACTGTAAAATCATGATGTGGAATTCCTTTGTGTCTGAGAGATAATTCTCTGCTACACACTAAACAAAGCAGTATTTATTAAATGTGGTTCAAAAACAGCTGAATTAATCTGGCACCAAAGTTGTTTTCTATCACAACTTTCCAAAGGCCCAGCTGCCAACAGATTTGCAAAGGAGGTCAAAGAGCAGTATTAGAGGAATATAAAAAAGATAAGAGGTAAGAAAATACCACTAAGCAATCATCTTCCCCCATCTCCATACGAAAGACTATTTCTCATTTCCTCTCCCACCCCTTGGCAGTCTTAGAAATCTTTCAGATATTTTACCTACTTTTTCTTCAAGCAGATAAGAGCAGGTGGTGCAATAACAAAGTATGCTTTTTTATGTACACCTGCTGCAAGGTTTGTGGTTCTTTATTTCTACAGAAACCTTTTTATTTGAACAATATTATTTCAGATTCGGAGAGGAGAACTTGATGTTGTTTATTGGCATTGGTCTCATTCCTACCCATAAAATAACTGGACATCAGAGAGCAGGTATTACTTGTAGATAGTAAAAATTCTTTTCAGTTCATTTCTTGAAAATCTTATCATTTGTAAACTCACAGTCATTGTTTCAGAAAGAATAACTTGCACTTGCAAAGTAGCAAATCACCATAGCTTCACTGCTGTTTCACTTACACCCCTTCATTTTGAGAATCTTTTCAGGTTGGCCTTCTCAAATTCTTTTTTGATTTTCAACCACAGGAGCTGCCTGTCGTTTACATATTAAGGACCCTCTTTATTAATTTATTACAATTAATTTTGAAAATAAATAACTTATAAATTAGTGTAAAACTAGCTGCTAAACCAGTGAAAAAATAGCCTAATATGCAGTATTTAGCATTACAAAATTGCTCAATAATATATTTATCATTAAAACAATCATTTGTCATTTCCTAAACATGTGGACTAAGTTACTGTTATGGAAATAATTGATGCCGAGACCTGTCTTGGGTTACAGAGGTTTCAATATTAGCTAAATGTCTTGGGTCTGCAAAACTGGCCTCAAACCATCACAAAAACAAAAGAACTCATTAAATTTGTTCCTTTCTACTGCCACTGAAGTTAGAATCAGAAAAAAAAATTTTGGTGGTATTCTGATATTCTCTTATTTTGGTCTAGCTTCACCATCAGTCATTTCTATACCTGAGTTAATGTTACTACTGCTGAGTTAAGGTTTTAACTAAAAGCAGTCTGCAGGGCTGTGAAATAGAAGAAAGATATTACCAGAAATGGCTAACAGGCAGCAAAATTGTAGAGGAAAGGATAATCTGAATAGTGGAACATTAAGACCATTAACAAGGTGAGGGGTCATTAATGCCTATGGGAATGAAGAGAAATTAGTAGGGACCAGGAACATTATAATGAGCCATGAAATCAATTGACTCCCTGAATTCTGCCAGAAGAGAAATGCCACTGAGGTTTGGGTAAAAGAGGAATCAAAGGGGAGACAACTTCACCACTGTATACCCCTTAGATCCACCCCTGCAGATACGCTTTGTGTGCAGTTTATATATATAACATTACAATATGAATTGCACTAAATTACAATCTCTGTGGGTGTTTACATACATTGTAATTTAGTGAGTAGTGCCAGGGATAGGATAGTTTATTTACCAGGAAGCTAAAAGCATTAGTACAATATCTTTCTTTCAAATAATTATTCGTAGAAACTTTAAGTTGACTTACATAAAGCTCCACTTCACTTAGTTGGTTATAACCTTGGTTATAACCTTTCTGCTTCAGCCCAAAAATGATGCTATCAAAATTCTACAAGCTTTGAAATATATAAATAAGCCTTATCTAATAGTTAATAAACAACTATCTTAAAATGTAAGATGATTTCATTTTAACAAACATAGTTACTTGCAAAATCTGAAAATGAAGAGACTATTACAATGCAGTATGACTAGTTCCTTAAAATGTTTTCCAACCAGTGACCTTCCTTCTTTGCAAAATATCCATTGATACTGAAACTAACTTTCATGAATATGTTGAAACAAATTTAAAGGAGAATGATAATATTAAAATAAAATCATTGAAACTTTGGGAATATGTACAGTGCTAATAATAAGATCAGACCATTACTCTGAATAGGGTACACATAATGTAAGTACCATCCTTCTAATGTAAAAAGTTTACAAGCATCATCCAATTTCAAAACTGAACATGTTTACAATTGATCTTTTCTAAAACCTCTGTCAAGCAAATTTAATTCATCTGTCTTTCTAATAAGAGCTCTTGTGCTGGCTTTTCTAGATACAAATGGCAATGCAGTATAGTTTTTCAGTATGGCTTTTGCTCAGGTTAAATAATACCCTCTTGATGAATATGAAGTTGTGCCATTGCCTTAAGAATAGCCATTATCCCTTTCTAAAATAATCCAGCTCCATTTCCACTTGAAATGAGGAGCAGCTGAAGGAAACATTATGTAGTACATATTTAATTATAAAGATTGGAGAAAATTGAGAACAGTTCCTCATAAATTTATGAGCTACATTACACTTACCTGGATTGAATGATTATATAGGTCTTAAAAGGCAAAACAACTGGATAAGGAAAATGAATGGGTTTTGCTCAGTCATAAGGTTTAGCAGTTTTAGGAGAAAATGTATAGATTTCTATGGTCAGTCATCCATAACATAAATATAACAGGGAACCCTAGCCCTGTTACTAAAAGACAGGGTTGCCCCTTTAAATCCAGAACCTTCTAGTCACGGCCAGCTGGTCAAGTAGGGGTTAAGGCTCAAGCCCTGCCAGCCGGTCAGGTGACAGGAAGAGGACGGCCAGGATCCTACAAATGGCAAGTGGAGAAGGCCAGAGGGGCAGCAGAGAGGGGGATTCCCAATGACCACAGTGCCATGGCCGCAGTCTTTTTCAGAAGAATACGCCATGCTGTAAGCCAGAAGCATGATCATCCAAAGTAAGAAGGCATGTTGCCTCTCTTATTTCTTTATTATCATTTTTCCATTATACGGCCATAGAAGCCTATGTTTTGGGTTGGATGTTAATAACCAGAGGATCGGGCTGAGGCTATTTGGGGAAGAAGGAGGCCTCACTGGGGGGGCTCACTGCAGTGTGGGGACTCCAGCGTCAGAGAGGGTGCAGTAGTCAGGGGTGAGCAGACCCCAGCACCAGAGAGGGTGCAGGAGCCCAACTGAGTTTTTTTATTTGAGAGCTAGAACCTTGGAGTCAAGCCCTGATTAGTGGGTTTTTCACTGACAGGCCTAGCTAGAGAGAGAAGGGGTAAGCCCACAGTGGCCAAGACCCCAACATAAACAGGAATTTATAAATACCATCTGCGAGGCTTGGGCTACAGTGTAGGGGAGGAACGGAGCCACAGATAGTTCCACCTGGCATCGGGACAAGAAATGGGCAGCCTCCCACCTAATTAAGATCATTAATTAATCAACAAGGCATGGCAGGAGAGAAGGTGGGCAGTTGGCCAAGAACAGGTGAGCAGGACCGTCAATAGACAGACCCCGAGCAGGCCCCTGCTACAATAAAAAACATAGATACTAAGATAAATATTAAAATAGCCAATAGGTTAGTGTTACAGTCTCACTGTGAAAAAACATGCCAGAGCAGTGGCTACAAGTTGTCACAACTATTGCTTGTTTGATTTTTTTTTTTTTTTTTTCTCTTTAAATAACGCCGTCTCCAGCAGCATGCTGTCCTGGATGCTTGTAGAATGACTGGTTCCTCTCTGTTCTCTAATCAATGAGCATTTTTCACTGTCCCTTTTTGCACCTTCAGAGCACTCCTACCTAACAGATAAAAAATTATTTATTCCAGACTGTCGCAGCACAGGGTCCCCAGGAATGGCCATGATGCCCCTCAGGCTCTATGACCATGCCAATTCTGCCCTATGGGCACCTCCTTTTCTCACCTGCCATATCTTGTTGGTATACATAATAATTAGGGAGGTTGCCCTCAAGTTTCTAATTGGTCACAGTCCTGCTGGACCCTGCTAAATCCTGCAGGTTCTTGGATCCCCTACTGGGTCCAGCTTTAAGTTGGTACCTCATGAGACACCCCAAGCCTTATGGGCTAGATGCGTGGCTCCAAAACCTCCCTAAACACTGTTGAATCTAAACACTATTGATAAACTTGAGCATGAAAGCTCTTTGTGGCAAGGACCACTGTTTCCATTCTGTAAGTCTGTCCACAAAAAAGAACCTGGTTATTGGTTGGTGGTTTGATTATATAAGTAGATCCAGAAGATAGGAAAGGTCCATCCAAGTACCCCAAAATCATGCTGCATCACTTTTTTTTATCTCCAAGATGAAAGTATGTCCAATCATTATCAAGGACTGTAATACTTTTGGATTGACAAATTAGTGAGCGTTGATATCCTAAATCATAAACATGAATTTATTAGTGCACCATATTACCTGCTATGAATGGTTCAAATTCTGACTAGGAAATGAAAGATCTTGCTTTCTAACACAGAAACTTAAAGAGCTGGAAGTTGGCAGGATTCTTGTAGGCCATTTAGAATTAAAAGGTATCATTTTTCTTATTGCAAGTGATAGGACCCATCGACATTTTTTCCCCATAGTGTATCAAATATCAACTCAAAAAAAATCTGAAGGTTTCCTACTTTCCAGGTATAGAGCTTTTAAAATACTTTGCTTTTGCATTTTCTTTTGATTAGTTGTGACATTATATACAAATATTTTATAAAGCCCAGGGACATGACAGCAATAATCAATTCAGAATTAAAAAACATTATGAATTGTAGAAGACTTAACATAGTTGATTAATTAGCTAAAAGATCTGACCTAAGGTACTACCAATTATTTGATAGTTTCTAAACACAAAATTACATTGAATTACAATGAAGCCATCAATATAGGCTTTGATGGTGGGTTGATATTTTCTATTATGTACTGTATGAATATTGATTAGAATCAACTAGGCATTTCAATAGCATCATTTAATTATAAATTTAAAAACGACATCATTTGGAGAGATCATTTTAAGAATACCTAAATGTGCTGATAAAGACTGAATACTGGAGGTTACCCTCTTCTGTTTCAGAGGGTCCCTCTATGCATCCAGGTGGCAGGATTTCAGTGGGGTGAAAATTGCAGGGATGGTAGCACTTGCTGAGGCCACAAAGCCTGCCAAGTTTCAAAGATATAGGTACAGGGGTTTCTGGGAAACCGCAACTTAAACTGCTGACAAGAAAAACTCATTACATAGGTGACACTTCGTGTGTGTTAAGGCACAGAGGGGTGAAAACTACAGTGGTGGTAGCCCCTGCTGCAGCCACAAAGCATGCCAGCTGTCATGGAGATAGGTTCAGGGGGAGTCTGGCTTCTGGGGCCCTGCACCTCTGTCTGCAAGCAGGCAAAACTTATGACATGGGTGCTTGTGGGACTGTGTATGTGTTCAGGTGAACCCTTCCTGGCGCTGGGGCCTCTGCACAACATGGCAGTGTGCCCCCGTGAGGCTTCCTCCTCTCCTACACCTTGGCCCGGTCCACCATTATAAATGACAGCAGGTCAAAATAACTTAGCTGACGCAACACCAGTAGCACCAGCAGCATCAGAGGTACCCAGATGGAACTGTCACAGAGCCGTTCTTTTTATAAAGGAATTGACAGAAAGAAGTAAAGATGTTGTGGTGGATATATGTTACTTGTGGTGTGTGATGGCTTATCTTGTGTTTTTAAGTTTATACTTTTATTATGAAAAAAACAAATTGTTAGAAAAATATATCTTAGGAAGCTTTTGGGTTGAAAAACCCTTTGTCAGGCTGAGGAAATACCTGCAGTTGGTGTGTCTCCTGGTCCTGGAGGGAAGGAATAGTAAAGAAGCCAGAGGCTGGCCTATAATGCAATGCAGGCAAGAAAGTCAGTTAGTGAAAATGGAAATGGAGGCATCAGGGGGTGAGGGACAGGCTGGGGTGGAGGGGCAGGGGGTAGAGGGGAATATAGCAGCACAGGTAAAAGTGCATTGCTCCCTGGGGAGTCAGATGTCTGATTTTTGCCTGCCTGTGGCCAGAGGTGCAGGGCCCCAGAACCCACACTCCCCCTGCAGTTTGCACCTCTCCCTGTGCCTTAACACACACACAGTGTCACCTATGTCATGAGTTTTGCTTGTCAGCAGCTTGAGGTGCAGTTTTCCAGAAACCCGTGTACCTATCTCCTTGAACCTTGGCAGACTTTGTGGCCTCAGCAAGTGCTACCATCCCTGCAATTTTCACCCCACTGTGGCTTCACACACACACGTGACCCAA